AGGGATATGATCCAAATACAGCTGGTGCAGGCTCAATTTCAAATTATTTGGTGGGCATATTTGATTCACAGGCAATACTCCATAAACAATTGGACAAAGAATAAAAGAGATAATTCCCAGTGGCCCACCCACTAGAGAGGGTCTCAAAATTATGGGACTTATTTTTGGCACGCTGGTTATTACACTGGTCTTGCTCAATTGGACAAACTCCATAAACAATTGGACAAAGAATAAAAGAGATTTGGAATTTTGTGCCGGTCTTGATCACATTTAGACCGACTCAATACGATTTTAGTTCTTCGTTCTTGATTCTGGGTTCTTGGTTCTCAAGTCATCATGCCATGTTCCTTCGCCTTAGTTTTGCTCACTTTTGCTTCGATATGTCGCGGTGGTTTGGCATTATCAAAACCTATCATAAACACCGAACACAGTTTAGTACGACGTAAGACGTAAACCCGTGTTCCAACAATTTCCCCCTTTTTGATAATGGCAAACAAGACGGGGATATGCATACTAAGGGATATTTGTTTTTCAAAAGTTGTGAAAAAAAGTTCCCCCTTAATTTGTGCTTTAAAAAAAAATTAGTTGGATTAAAAACAAACGGTCTCGTTTATAGAGACGTTCCCCCTTAGTATATGCATAGCCCTTTTCTTCCCCCTTTTGACATTAACAAAAAGATAAAAGATTATTTTTTTATTGAAGATGGGAAATAGCGGTGTACAATGGAAGCATTAAGAGACAGGATAATTAAAACAAAAGAGATAGAAATTCTAGGGGCGGCCTAGTCTTCGTCTTCGGTTTCCTCCTCGTCGTCGTCGACGTCCATCTCATCACCGTCAACGGTGTCGTCGAACTCGTCCTCGTCCGGGGAGCTTGACGGGGCGTAGGAGCCATCCTCTTCGTCCTCGTCACCGTACACTTGCCCAAAGAATGTGCCATGGTACGGTGGGGGGACGTAGTTAACGCGTTGGAAGTATGCGTTCATGGCGTGCCCTTGGCGTTGAACAGCCTCGTCGAGCCGCTCAAGGTAGCCTTCCATCCCGTCAACTTTGAAGTGAAGCCGGTTGAGGGAGTCGGCGATGGAGGCAAGGTTGGCCCGGGCCTGGGCTTCGGCTGGGCCAGCAGCAGAACGGCGCCGTTGCACGGCAGTGGCTGGTCCGGCGTTGTCCGACCGCTTCTTGAAGGTTTGGGTGCTGACCGCCCAAATCTTCGTGGCCTTTGTGAGTGGGCCAACGGTGGTGGTCACCTTGAACCGTTCAAGGATGTCCATCACCACGAACGGGTACGGGAGGAGGTGGTCGTGGTCGGTGGACGCGGCAATCGTCATGTTGATCATGACAAACTTTGCCCAAT